GATAGAATTTTTTTTTTTTTGGTCTTTTTGAGACAGGTCTCCCTGTAGCTCCAGCTGTCCTGGAACTCACTGTGTAGACCAGGCTGGCCTTGAACTCACAGAGATCCACCTGCCTATGCCTCCTGAGTGCTGGGATTAAAGGCATGTGCCACCATGCCCACCAGGACAGAATTTTTTTGGCCTTTTTGAAGCAGGGTCTCCCTGTGGCCCCAGCTGTCCTGGAACTCACTATGTAGACCAGGCTGGCCTTGAACTCACAGAGATCTGCCTGCCTCTGCCTCCTGAGTGCTCGGATTAAAGGCGTGTACCACCACGCCCAGCCAAGGACAGAATTTTTAACAACTTCTGCACATACTTCTGCCATTTTGTATCTCAAATTTACGCGAAGTGGCATTCTCAGCATTGACAGTCATAAAATAATCAGTTCTGCAGAACACTGGAGATGTTTTACCCTCTGCAGTATCAAGTAGTCGCCGATATTTAATTCTTTATGTAAACATAAGCATATCCATCTCATTACTATGGTTTAAATAAATGATACAATTATATATTCCAAAGAATTGTTTTAAAATAAATTTATTTTTATTTATTTAGTCTTCAAAAAATTTTAAATTATTTTTATTTTATGTGTATGTGTGTATTGGCTGCATGTAGATAAGTGCACCCATGTTGTGCAATGCCTGCAGAGGTCAGAAGAGGCTGTTGGATCCCCTGGGACTGGAGTTGCAGACAGTTGTTAGCTGCTATGTGGGTACTGGGATTTGAACTTGGGTATTCTGCAAGAACAGCCAGTGTTCTTAACCACTGAGCCATCTCTCCAGCTCCCTATTTATTTATTCTTAATTTATGTGTATGAGTGCTTTACCTGCATGTATGTAAGTGCACCCTGTTGTGCAATGCCCAAGGAAGCCAGAAGAGGGTGTTGGATCCCCTGGAACTTGCATTAAGAACCGGTGTTAGCCTTGTGGATGTTGGGAACTGAACCCAGGTCCTCTGCAAGAGCAGTCAGTGCTCTTAACCACTGAACCATCTCTCCAGCCCCACATTTCTTTTTTTAAAAATTGCACTTATTTATTTGTTGTTTATTGTGACTATGGGGAGGTGGGCAAGGGTATGTGGAGGACAACTTGCAGGAGTTGGTTCTCACCTATCACATGGGCTCTGGGGATTAATTAAGCTCAGGTTAGTGACAAGTGTCTTTGCCCATTGAGCCATCTCGCTGGCCCTTTTTTAAAAAACAAAAACAAAAACAAAACAAGAAACAGCTAACATTATTATTAACCTTTTGTAGCTCTTAGGGTTGAACTCAGGACCTTGTGCATGCTAGGCAAGTGCTGTATCACTAACTTACATTCATATGTATATAAACCTGGGTTGGGTCAAACTTTATTGGGCTACAAGGGGGTACAGGTAGAAAAAGTCCAAGAAGACCCACCCTGAGCTACTGGACACTGGAAGGAGGGAGAGGGGACAAACCGGAAGGAAGAACACAGGGATGGTGACACAAAGGCTTTGCTCTCAAAGCGGCAAGGAGGAAGAATTCTGTCTTCAAACTGGAAGAGATCACACGGAGGGGTCTCACCTTGGGGTCTCACCTTTAATTGAAAAGGCAGCCGAGGCCTCCGAGGGCACACGATCCAAGGAGTCACAGAGTGAGTGGTCAGGCCAGGGGAAGAGAGCTCAGGGCCCCTGACTTCAGCTTTGTTGCAGAGATCAGGTAATCTGGCAGGGCAGGCCACTCAGAGCCCCATCCCTCCTCTATCCAGCAGACTGTGACGTATCATGTGTCCCCTGTATCATGCACTCCCTGCACCTGCCCTCCCCCTGCAGCTTTGCTCTTCCTTAGGGCCTCCTCAAAGCATGTAGGGAGGGAGAACTCCAGATAGCTCCCCTCCCCCTCCACTAGGATTGCTGGCAGGTTGCCTTGGTAACCAGAGCATAGCCAACTTTGAAAACCTAAAGCTCAGGGAGAGAGAATGGATAGGGACAGGGGGAGATCCCAGACCCAGATATTCACCACTCACTGATTCATTCATTGTACAGAAATATACCATATCCGATTCTTGTCAGGTCCCGGGACCCAGAGAATAAGAAGATCCAGGTCCTTCAGAACTGTGCTGTCCAATATGGTAGGCACACATCGAAAGGAGATAAAATAAAAAAGTTCAGTCCTTTGGGCACCATTGAGTGCTCAGGAGCCACCTGTGACTAGTGGCTATTTTATTGGACAATACAGATATAGAATATTTCCATTATCACAAAAAGCTCTACTGGCCAGCACAAGCCAGAAGCTCACTTGCCAAAGAGGGTCACACGCAAGAACGTAGGCCAGACCCCACAGTGTTGTGGGGTGCAGTGTCCTCGTTGGCAAAAGGCAGGTGGCAAAGTGAAAAGGACATGCCAGGTGGATGCTCAGCTTAGTTCCTGGTTCACGGTGTTTGGGGTTTGCTATGACTGATGCTGAAAGGATCTATTTACATACCTATCTTCCTGAGCAGACTGTGCCTCCAGCCTGGCCCAATGCCTGGCACACAGTAAGTACCCCATTCGATGGGTTTTCCCATCACTGTCATTATTATACCACTGTTATGGTAGAAGCAGCCCAGGGCTGTGGAACATAGAAATGAGCACCCACCTTAGTCCCAAGAGTCAGGGTCTATTGAGAATTGGCTTTATCAGAGCCAGAGTGGGTGGCTTTGTACATCTCTTTGAGGCCAGGCCCAGGTCTGGGCTATCTATATACCCTTAAGGTCTTAGTACAGGCTGTGTCTGGAGCAAGCTGGGACTCAGAAAAATAGTTTTGAAGCATACAGACTCAAGCTTAGGAAAGATCTCAGAAGCATGGGCCTGAGGGTCATAGAATTCAGTAGGCCATAGAGGTTGCAGAGGGAAAGCAGGAGGGGGGAGGTTGGCACGGGGACAAACAGAGTGACAACTTCTTTGGAGTAACCCTGTTCTTACTGGTGATCTCTCTCTCCAGGGGTCAGTCTCAGAGACAAGATGTGTTGTGGAAGTGGGGGGAGAATCAGGGCATCCCCTCCCCAAGTGGCCTTGAATTCGGAGTAGCTCAGCTGGCTGACTCCCGAAGCTCTGTAGGATTCCAGAGAGTCAGAACAGCCATTCATGGCCACCCACTCTTGAGGAGCCAACCCCTCCCTGCACAGAGCTCAGCCCAGCTGCTGGGGATGTAGCTAAAGGAACAGGTCAGGAGAGAGCTGGGCCCTAGACCTGGGGACTCTCTCTGGGAGGCTGACTAAAAGCCCAGGAGGGGAATCAGAGAACCGAGGAATCTGAGCAGGCCACATGGCCACCCTCTGGGTACAGAGGAGGTGAGGGTATCTGCACTTGGTCCAGCTTCCCTGACTGAGACCCACCAGCCTCTCCTTCCTTGTCTTCTGATCAAGGTAGGTATTTGTGTGTGTGTGTGTACGTGTGTGTGTGATGGAGAGGATAGGAAGATGCAACCAAAGAGTTCACGGGACATGGGGCTCAGCAAGGTGGTGGGGATCTGGTGGCCCAAGAACAAATAGGTCTCAGAAGTCTCTGAGCCTGCCGTCCAGGCACACAGAAGGTAGACAGATGTTTGTGGCTAAGTGTAGTGTGAACGTGGTGGGTGTGGTCTGGACAGTGGGCAGGATGGCAGAGCAGCAGGGATATGCCCAATGGAAAGGGGACAGAGGTTGGATGGTCTTAGATACAAACGTGCAGCTAAGAGAGATGAGGGCCTGGGGCATCACTGTAAGGCATGATAAGTACTCTATCCTGCCTCTGTGCCAACAATCAGAGAGATGGCTCATAAGATCACTCCCCTCTATCACCAGTCCCTTACATTTAGAGATAACCCTTCCCACCAGCCTTGGCCTGCCTCCCCAAGCAGCCTATAGGGTCCAGCCTGTAGTGTTGGAAGAAACTGGAACAATTTTGTCCCAGACGATGAATTATGTGGAGCTCAGAGAGGCCATTAGCCAGCCCCCCAGGGGCCCTGGAGATTACCTCATGGAGTGGGCCATTGATTTAGCAGGCAGCACTGGCGTATCATCCTGGGTACCCCCTCCTTTCCCAGCTCCCCGCCTCCAGGTAGCCTTCTCCAGCCCCATCCTTAGTCCACCTCACAGTCAACAGAGGTCTTTTAGCCATGGCCTACAGGTCTCCCGGTCCCGAATCTGTTCCCTACAATCTCCCTGTCACCCTGCCCTTGAGTGGTTGTTTCCTACAGCAGATGGGATGAGGTCATCTTTCAGGGTGTGAACAGCTTTGCAGTCTGGCCTGGACTCCACTTACCTGCAGTTTTATCTCCATTCGTCCGGGTACAGCCTGGAAGCCTATACTGGATTTTCAGAAGGAGGCTGGCTATACCTCACCTTTGGGCTATACTTAGGAACCTCCCTCTACTGACATCCAGACACCCTTAGCCCTAAGGTCTGTCATCCTTAGCCCTAAGGTCTGTCTCCCCATGGTTCAGCCCAGGGATGTTTCCTGGTTTAGGGCAGGAGCCCCTGATCCAGACTCTGATCTCAGGCTGTCTGATCATCCCTTGGTCTCTAACTCAGCCACCTTAACTCTTGCTTTGGCTGCTGTGGGTGGCTCTGAAAGAGAGGGACAGACAGAGCTCCACAGCTACTGCTCTCTACCGTCCCTGAATATGTATGTAACCTTCATAGAGTTGTTCACAGAGAGTACACTCAGGCCCAAGAAAAGAGAGGGGTAAACCCCACTCTGGGCTCCCTCCTGCAGGGGGCAAACTGCTCATTGGTAGTGACTGAATCCCCCTATGTGGCTGCTGACTTGGCATGTAAATGAGACATGTGTCAGTCTGTAGCAGTGAGGAACTCTCAGATTGTAGGCAAACACATATGTAAGTCCACCAAGGACTTGGCAGTTTTCCAAACAGGTTCCTTCAGGCTAGCAGTGCCATCTGCTGGCTGGGAGGGGGAGAGATGAGACCTTGTCCCTGTCCGTCCTCTTGTCTGTGATTGCCTCAGGCAAAGCCAAGCAATTGGATGGATCACGACTTTGTACCTGTTCCTCCAGAGATGCAGCCGCACAGAACTCCAGGCCCCAGGACTTCCTTCTCCCGCAGCCACATGCTGGGGCGCCATACCCACCCAAGGCTCACTGGAGAAGTATCCCCACTCATCCCCGTCATCAAGAAGGCTGTCCATCTGGATGCTTTTTCCCAAAGCCATGTCCTACAGACTTCCAGCCAACCAGGTCTTAGAACCAGGGCCCGGAGCATGCCCGCACAGGGCACGCACATTGTATCAGGGGCTTCCTTGAACCCTTTGCCTACCAATAACCTTGTACCCAGGAAACTCAGCTCTATCACCTTAACGATTCGCCAGAACATACAAGCACAACCTGTAGACTCCCCACTTTCTCACGGGGAAGAGTTGCCCAACTTGGGTAAGGAGGCTGCCACCTACAGAGAAAGGAAGCTGTCTACTTCAAGCTCACCTTCCACGACCCTATGGCCAGAGGTCAGGGTTTCCTCTGAGTGTCGGGGGAACCAAGGTTTTACTAAACCCAACAGGATGCCCACAGGGGAGAAGCTCCTTGTGAGTTCACATCTGGCTTTACCTTTCCAATCTCAGTTCACTCAGAATTCATCAAGCCTTGCAGGATCAGGCCCTGTGGGTCAAGCCCACATCAGAGCTTCACCAGGAAGAGGCAAGTCCCGGTCCAGGGGTATTCCCAGATCCCGGGCATGCCTCCAAAGGGCTACTTCTCCTATGGATTTGTCCACTGTGGGGACAAAACTAGATGTAGCCAGAAATTTAGGCACAATGGCCAACAGACCTGAGCTTCCTATCAATATGGCCACACCAAACCCATCCAGACTGGGCATAGGCGCAGAGCTTCCTACTCTGGAAGCCAAGATGGGCACAGCCATGGACTTATCTACAGCAGTCAGGTCAGGAAAAGTCATCAACTTGGCGAAAGCAGGCCCGTCCAAGTCAGGCCCAGACGTGAATTTGATTGGAGTAGAGTCAACCAAGCCAGGCAAGGTTATGAATTTGGCAACCACAGACCCAGACAAGCTGGGAAATGTGGTTAGAGCAGGTACAGCCACACTGGATATGACCACAGGTGTCTCAGCTGTCACTCTGTCACTATCAGATCCAGTCAACCTGGGCATAAGCAGGCTGGGCACAGCCACAGTTTTGGCTAGAACAAATATAACCAAGCTGGGCACAGCTATGGATTCCTTTGCTTTGGACACAAGCGGGCTGGACACAGTCGTGGATACACTTGTGACTGTCTCCCCAGAGCTAGCCACTATTGACAACAAGCTAGACAGTGCCAATAACCTGATTGTATCAGATACTGCTGTCTACCCTCTAATGCCGAGCAGAAGCACAGACCCAGCCCAGGACGATGCCACTGGGGATGCCACCACAGACAGAATCATGGACCTTGCCTCACTGGACTTGGCCAGAGAATCCAAAGGTAAATGCAGGAATTTGGTTGGGGAAGGTACTGCTGCTGGAAGAGGAGGGGTGCACACGCCTCCATAGGTTGGGAAAGAGAGTGGGGAGTCAGAACCGGATGGATGGGAGGAAAAAGAACAGGGGCTCAGGGGCTGAACAGAAGGCTATGTATCCCGAGCGGGGTCCTAACTTGCAAGAAGTCAGGTTGAGGGAATCCATTAGAAGGAAAGTTTACGGCATAACTTGTGGAGAAGCAGTGATGCTGAGTCCTCGCTAGAGCGGCACTGAGTCCAGCTTTAAAGCAAGCCTACTGCATGAAAATACCGACCAGCACCTCAGTAAGTAGTGATTTATTCAACAGTAGTCAGACATCACTGTGATTCTTTGGAAGTGAGCTAATGACCTTGTCTGAGACCTTCTAAGTCCATTCACACATAAGCTGTGTAGATTTGCTCTTAAAAAGTACATACAGCCGGACATGATGGCGCGCACCCGTAGTCCCAGCACATGGGAGGCAGAGGCAGGCGGATCTCTGTGAGTTCAAGGCCAGCCTGGTCTACATAGTGAGTTCCAGGACAGCTGGGGCTACAGGGAGACCCTGCTTCAAAAAGCCAAAAAAAAAAAAAAGTACATGTAGCACTCGGGAGGCAGAGGCAGGCGGATCTCTGTGAGTTCAAGGCCAGCCTGGGCTACATAGTGAGTTCCAGGATAGCTGGGGCTACAGGGAGACCCTGCTTCAAAAAGCCAAAAAAAAAAAAAAGACATGCGGGGGCTTGGGAGGCAAAGCCAGGAGGATCAGGAAGTAGGAAGTTCAAGGTCAGCCTTACCTGGAAGTATTTCTTCCCTTCAGCCCTTTAATCCAAAGTTAAGTTGGAGACTCTGTGTGTGTGTGTGTGTGTGTGTGTGTGTGTGTGTGTGTGTCTTGTAAGTACTTCACAGACATATAAATAGGTTGGTACAGGGCTAGAAGTTCCATGGATGTCTCAGAGGCTATGGCATGCCTACGGCCACACCAGAGCTGGCTAGTGACAGTATATTGATTGAAATCCAGACCTGGCCATTCTACTTTGGGCAATATTGTTCCCAACACTTCAAAGGCTCAGGTTCTGGGTCAGGAAAGTGGCTTGGGAGGACCCCAGTGTCTGAACTGGGTCCTTGGCTTGTCAGTGCCCTTCTCATCCGCCTCCACACCTGCCTGGTCTTCACTCTGCTGCATGAACCTCCGCTCTCCCTCTATCTTCAGCCCGGCTCTCTCCTGAAATACAGACACAGAGAGCCCCCTGGATGTTTCCAGGCCTCACCGCTGGACTCCTCCACCTGGATGTTTCCAGGCCTCACCTGCTGGACTCCTCCACCTGGATGTTTCCAGGCTATGTCCAGAGGCAGGAAGCCCATCTTCTTACTGGACCAGGTCCAACCCTCCAGGATCTCAGTCTCTCAGCTGCAAGTACCACCTACCTTTGATCCTGTGGTTAGGTCCCAGGCAACCTGTTTTCCCCATCTTGTCTCTCCTGCACCCCATCCAGTCTATTTCCAGTCCGGTTGATGTACCTCCTCTGTACTTGACCATGTGTCTGTCACCTCTTTCCTCAGTCCTCTGCCCCCGTGAGGTCCCTCCTCCACCCAGCTGCCATAGGGTCTTCGATGTTTGGTGGCATCCTTACACCTACTGATCAGCTCGCTTCTCACCTTCTTAGCCCTGCCTGCTAATGTTTCCTACCTCACCCCTCTCAAGAGTCCTGAGTTGTCACAGTGCCCGGACACTTCTGGGTTTCCCTGGCCTTGCTGCCCTTCTCAACAGAATGCTCTACTATTCTGACTCTGCAGCGCCTCGAAATCCTCCAGAACCCCATTAGTTCCCTGGTGCCCACCAGCCCGCACTCCACAGAACCCTGTGTGATCCAGCTTTGGTTCTTCCGTTAGACCCTGGACCTTTGAGAGACGCTCCCAGAGTCTGCCAGCACCCCACCCAGCAGCTTTGACTCAATGCATGACAGATGTTTTGAGTGGATAAAATGAGGCTCAGGGAAGTTCCCGAGTGGTTCAAGGTTATAGGATTCAGCATCCCAGGCCTGAAGCTGGGCCTGGAACCCGGGTCCCTGACTCAGGAGCTCTATCAGTTCCTACGTCTGGGCAGAACCACGGTGAGCCAGCGCAAAATCCCAGCCACGCGTGACTCACGCGCGCGTACGAGCGCCGGCAGCAGCCACCGGGTCCCCTGCGCCCCCGACCCGCCCCAGCCTAGACGGTAAGGGGCTGCGGGCAGGATCTAGGGGGAAGGACTCGGGCTGCGATGCGAGCACCTCCCGGGCCCGGCATCCCGCGTGCCATCGCCTGCTCTGGCGCTTCTCCGGCGTGCGGGCGGAAAGGGGAGGGGCCCCTGGCGCGCGGGTCACGTGGTGCGGGTGGCAGCTGCGGCGGCGGCGGCCTCGGTGCGCGCTGGCAG